TTTGGCAACGAAAGAATAGTAGGTTAGAATTGTATAAGAACGCGGGCTAAAGAAAGTGGAGAAAGGAAAATGAAGAAGAAAATAGTTGTGTTGGAGGTGGAGTCTCAGCCCTCTGTAAAAGAAACATGGACTTTTTTGTGGTTTCTTTTTTCCTCTTGGTTAAAGGTTTTTTTTTTTTTTTCAAGTATTATTTTTCTTTTTTTTTTTAAGAATAAAATTCAACCACGTCATTTATATCTACAACTGAACAATAGGAGTTTTAAGGTACACAATCACAATACTGATTGTCGAAAAAGGAAACTGTCAGGTAGGGTTTGGCAACGAAAGAATAGTAGTTTAGAATCAAATATAAGGTTATCCATCAGTCACTTTCCACTTTTGTAGTGTCTTTCAGAGAGGTGTAAACAAGATAATTTGACAGTTTCCTTGTGGTCATATCTTAAACTTATAAAGCAAAGCAATAATAAAGAATTAATAAAACAGTATGGAATTGTTGTATGTGTAAACCTGACATTTAAACTATTTAAGCCGAGCAGTGAAAGATATTCAAATATATGGCCGATTGCTTGTCATTAGTAACTAAATTGTTCTTTGTTTCTTAAGTTTTGGACAAGTGTTCTTCGTCCAATAATGGCGGCTGCAGTCACAAGTGTGTTAACACTCCAGAAGGCTACATATGTGAATGTCCGGACCCCGAGCTAATCTTATCGTCGGATAATCGGACGTGCTATGGTAAGCAATTGTTGCTAAGTTGAAACTTAAAAAAACATGCACAAATAGGCAAAAACAATAAAATCCTCGGGTTTCAGTCTTCCGTTAAAAAAACCCTTCAAGTTTCCTGTTTGTAAACAACAATTTTGGATATTATGTATAGAACGTACTGAAGGGAGCGCGATATTTAAAGCAAAAAAGCGAATAATGGTTCGTGTGGTTGCGTGTAGATCTGTCGAAAGGGCATGGATAACGAGAGGGGTGGGTGTGTAGACAGGTATCAACAAGCAAAGCTACATGCATCATCATTCCCCACTACATGAGATATAATCTAAGAGAGCAAATCCCCCATAAGTGACCCTCTTAAAATGTCAAAGTTTCAACATAATTAGTTAAATATTTAAATATTTATTTTTTAGCCCCAGGGGTAGACGTCCATTGCAACAGCCATAACATGACTATTGTTATTCCCAAGTCCCTCCTCCGCGGTATTGACCGAGAGCATCTTCGACTCCTGGACACCAGATGCAAAGCTACAGAAACAGCATCACACTTCTCTCTCACTACACCACTGACCGGTTGTAAGACAACAAGCAGGCACACACCCTCCACTGTTGTGTACTCCAACTCAGTTTTAGAGATTCCCGTGGGCGCAGAAGATATCATAACACGCGTGCGCGAAATAGAAATTCAGTTCAGCTGTTTCTATTCCAGATATGGCGTGACTTCATCCGTAAGCTGGAGACCAAATCAAAGAAAGCTGATGTTTAGCGATGAAGGAAGGGGAAATTTCACCATTGCTTTGAAGATGTTTCCTGACCGCAAATTCCTTAGTCCTTACATGAAGAGCGATTTCCCTGTGAATGTGGTTCTACGCCAGCTTTTGTTCTTTGAGGTGTCAGTGACGTCAGATGATAAGAGGCTGTCAATCAGAGCAGATCGTTGTTATGCCACACCTACACAGGATAGGATGAACGTCTTGAAGCACGAGATCATTAAAAACAGGTGAATGAACTTATTTTTTAGTTTACCAGTTGGCATATAACTGCTTTCTCAGGTTATTAAAGACACTCGTGTAGAGTTGATCGAGATTCAGGTGAAACCAATTCCTACAGCATGTCCAAAAAAAATTAGTTCAGAAAATTCTGAATCTGCAAACATTTACAAACCCTGAAAAAAGTTGTATCGCTGTAAAAATTATTTTCTCTGTTCCGAAGAATCCAACAAAATATAGTGAAAAAAACTTAATGAGAAAGGTTATCATTGCCGATTACTACGACAAACAACATGAACAACAACAACAACATTAATTACCATTATTATTCATTCAAAATATTTCCTCGATTCTGATTGGCTAAAAGCCCACGTTTAATTCATCATAACCAGTTACTGATGACCAAATTTGGAAGAAATTTGACTTTAACGAGGAAATGACGTCAAAAATGCAGCGTTCGTGCAGGTTAAGGCACCGTTAACCGAGAGGACCTGGGGACGAGGTTGAGTTGTTTTGGTTGTGGACTTGAAAAAATGGCGGACATTCCACTCGTTTCAAGAGTAAGAACTAGGCGAAAAAATAGCTAAAAACATGGCAAAAAACAGCAAGAAGACAACTCGAAGGGCGACATCTGCTATTTGGAGAATATTTGCGGATCTGGACAAACCTAAACGTACACTATCGAAGATGAACTGAACATCGATGGACCGATGGAGGTAAGCATGTTTTAGCTATGTTTTTAAACTAGGAATTATTTTGAATGAATAATAAAACAGTTATTGAATTCGGCTTTCGTATCATATGAAGAATTATGGAGATCTCGGAGGGTGTTATCCGCCTCGGCCTACGGCCTCGACGGATAACACCCTCCTCGATCTCCATAATTCTTCATAAGATACTCAGCCTCATTCATTAACTGTTAAGTTATGGATAACTTTACCCCTTTTCTTTTTCCAGGTGCCCGATTGACGAAACCGTCAAGTTCCTTGCTGCGCCTTCACCTAGTGCCCAGCGGTTTCGCCTGGAAGCATTCAAGTTTATTGCTGACCACCCACTTGTATTTGTCCATTGTCACGTGATTATTTGTAACGCAACAGACCCGAATTCTCAGTGCGCTAAGCCCTGCCCGATAAGTGACCGAAAGAAGCGCTCCGAGGGTGGTCACATGACCGATGATGTGTACTCGGTGTCCCAGGGTCCCCTGCGTCTAGCAGGTGAAAAACGTGAGGAAACCAACTCGAATGCTTTGGAAAAGAGAAGTAAGTAACATTAGGGTCTAATCCAGCTGATTCACAGTTTGTCCTCCTTACCCTCGTACAACACTGTTTCATGAAACATGCTGCATTATTATAAAAATATGTGCTTACAGTGAATAGATTTTATACCATGCTAATGGATCAGTTAAAAACGAAAACTGGATCAAAGAACGCTCAAGCGGACAATCTTGTTCAAAGGTGATGGATAACCATGTTGGGTAGTGTTGGACCAACGTGTTGGATGGTACTGAACTAACATGTCTTCCGATTCAGCTGCAAGCAAAAATTGCAATTCTTATACTTTTGAGCTTAAACGGTTTTTGGCGGGGAAATGACATCAAAATATTGACAGCAAAAGTTAACTGTAAATTTTTGATTTAACAACTGGCCCGTTAACTTCAAATTAAAAGGCAATAGGAAATTTCATCCTGATAAGGTTAGACATTTTTACTGAAATACATTTTCCGTGTTGACAATGCAACACCTTTTAAAAAAGGACTGGACTTAAAAACCTCAGTATAAAGTGATTAAGATTATTGTGTTTCTTCCCAGGCTACAGTCCGTTTCCCGTGATGGCTCTGTCAGTGTTTTGCGTCGCTTGCTTGGTGGGTACAGCAATGATGGTATACAAAAAGTCACGCAAGAACCCAATTGGGTATTCCGTGCTTGCAAATGGTTATGAACAGTAACGGGTTCAAGACAAGAGATCATTCTCTATTGGTTCAAGAGGAACTAAAGAGGAATAATAGACTGGACAGAGCTGAAGGGGACTTAGGGAGAGCTGTCTTAATTTCTGCGTATAAAACCAAAATAAAACTTAACTAAACTTGCAGTCACTAAATAATACACTAATAAACTTTCAAATAGGTATTAGATGAATGCTTGAATCTCTCTCTTTACTTTAATGGAATTATGTAAGCCCCATGTTGAAAAAGGCTATTTTAAACACTCGCTGGGAGTCGTGTAGGCCTGTCAACCCCATTTTACACTGAATCGTGCCCAATACCATGATACAAACGTCCGTAAAATTCTGCGACTTTTCGGAGTTATATCTTTGTTAGTTTTCAACAAATGACTTCGAAACTTGTCAAAGTGACGTCGCGCTGCCCTAAACTTCATCGCGCTTATTCTATCTCATTCAATTCGTCAAATCTTGGCAATTTTTTCTGGAGATGAATTCTAAAAGACTGTATTGAAGTTCAGAATAATAAGAAGAAAGTCGTTGCCTTGTGTTCACGTCCTCCACAAAACATGAAATTAGGCATTTTCACGTCGTAGTCGTGCAGTGACGGCAAAAAAATGTACAAAAAAGCGTGATGCACGTGCAAAGTTCTTGTTTTTCCAATCTAAACCTATTGCTTTTATGACGTACTCGTTGACGTCCCCGTCGTCTCATAGCTAACCAAAAGTGGTTACACCCTGGTTTTGAGTATTAAGTCGTCATGGAAACGAATCTGCAGAGGCAACCCTCCCTGTATAGGCCCATGCAATTGAGGTATCCTGGGATGGCATACCCCACAAGGGGTAGGATATCCAGTTACCTTTTGACTAAATAGCGTTACGTATAAAATCTTACGCTACTCAGACCATGTCCTAAACAATCTTTAAAAAACAGAGAGGTTTTTTTTATTTTTTTCGTTGTCCCAAACAAGATCTAGAGATGCTCTCTTCGCCCAAACGTGGTCATGTACCCCCCACCCCTGGGGCGGTTCAAAGCGCAGTTGCAGCAAGAAAGAGTAGACTCTATAGTTAACTAAGAGTATTACAGTTCAGAAAACGATAGGAAGGCCTGCTTAATCAATAAAAGTACTTTAATAAATGAACATCTTCAATTCTATGCTCAGCATTGGTGCGTGGTTTTTTGGGAGCTATACTTTGGATTCATAGGAATCTTTCATTACTTCCAAGTGCAATGTTTGATCAAGATGACAAGCACGGATTAAGGCTGTTTGCAGACTTTTGACTTTCTTTACACAGCAAATGACTGTAGGAATGTACAGAAAATTACCAGTCGCCTGGTTTGTTTTTCTTGATAATGTGTGGGAGGCTTTGTCATGATAATCAGGGGAATTAAATCGCCCGCAATTTAAATATCGACGGGCTGTTTGGTGGGAAACGAGCGTTTGAGAAAGGAGATTCATATTCCACTGAGGACAAAAATGAAGTGCTTAGTATTCCTCGCTTCTCTGATTATTTTCTCTGCAGCAGCGGACCCGATAGTAAATGCCCCGGATGTAGGCCAGCCAGGTAAGTGAACTAAGACACTTCCATAAAATGAACAGCGAAATATGAAGGTTTTACCCGAAAATAGTGAAGCCACTAAGACCCGAAGCAGCAAGTAATATGGAAACTAACCACAGAGACGTTTTAAATGAAAGCTTCGTAGTTTCGTGATCAAAAATTTGATGCAAACGCATGAACTTGCCAGGGCTGTAACTCTCCTGTTTTAGAGAAAAACATTTTAAGGACTCTGCATGCGTGTTATACTGTAAAGGTATTATAACAACGCCTTAAGATATTGTAATTGTCTCCTGGTGTAAAGAAGCTTTTGAAGAGATATAGCTCTACATAAAGTTAACGTCGGGTAGCATCCCTGTATCTTGCAGTAAAAGGTTTGTCACAGATGCATTAAAAATGCAACACGTTCTTGACAGCCAGGCTGGGGCTGAACCGCAGCAACAAATATTTTTGTTTTCAAGGTTTAGATCTTTTTTTCAAGATGTCCATCAACTTATTATCTTGCCCTATGCGTTTTAACATATATATTTTAGTAAAAGTATGGCAATTTGACGTTATTAATTCAGAGTATCACTCTCGATAAAACCGAGAATAAGTAACAACAAAGTAATTTCTTTGTTTGATTTTGTTTGATACCCATCTTTTAGGATATGTATTAAAGACTTGGAACTGAAAACAACAAGAACAAAATTTTCTTTGCCTTAAATAAAAATACCAAGCCTTCATGGTTTTCTCATTTAGGAAATAAATTTTGAGACTTAAATGGGATTTAAAATAATTCGTTTAATTTTTCGCGGCAACGTTGACTGTTTTGCGGCATGTTTAAATTACATTGCGGTACTAAGAGTCTAAATAGACGTAACGCGTTGAAGCATTTTATTTACATGACCGGCCGACCAAACACCTTGATATTAGAATTTCCATTCACCGCTAAAAAAATCACTAGGATTATAGATTCGCCGGATTGAGGGCGGTCGCATGGCAGCTTATTTTGTCAATTTTGCGCGACTTCGTACCTGATTGTCGACTTACGCAGCGGTTGCGGAAAAATCGTCACTCTCAAAAATAATTTAGTATAATTAAGTTAAAACTTAAAGAAATCCCTTCTTTGTTTCACACGAAGAAAAAAAGTGGAGTAAAAGAGTTTTCAACTGGAGGTAGGTTCCTACTCAATGCATGAAGTCGCCCGAAGTGGTAATCCGGGTTCCTGAATCCAGGAAAATCCAGAATCTGTAATTCAGCTCAAAGGTATCCAAAATCCAGCTAATGATTGGAATTTGGAATGCAAGTTCCAATGATAAGGAATCAGGAATCCAGAGATCAATTTAATAAAACTTTTACAAGTGTATTTACAAGTGTAGCAGTTATTTTAGAGTCAGAAAACAATAGCTACAATCCTGGTCTGAACGTTTGCGACACTTAGTCATTTACACATGATCCGTGGATTTTCCATTAATCCCCCTCCACCCCTGAACAGTGTTGGGTGTTACAGGCCAAAAAAACTTTGAAAAATATTTTAAAGTGTACGAACTTTAACTTTGTTCAGGGGGGGAGACCTAAGCATAGCCGTATTGACAATCATAAATTGACAGTCACTCTCCAATTTCTTACCAAAAAGGGGAGGGGTAAGAGAAGTGCCCCTAACCCTTGTGGCCAGGATTGTACACTTGTATTGTAAAAGTTCCAGTCCGTGGAATCCGGAATCGTCAGCGTGGAATCCAGAATCCAAGACTGTTTTCTGACGTTAACTGTTTTCACCACATATGGGGCGAAAGAAGACACTTCACCTTTTTTTCTTTGATATGTAGGCAGTTCTTGTAGTCCTCTTTCTGTTGGAAAGCATGTAATAGTTCAAGACTCCTGCACTCAAGCACCAAGTCCCTCAGGAACTGTGTGCGACTTGTCCTGCCCGGATAACTACACACTCAATGGACCTCCATTCCAACAATGCGGCGGTCAGGGAGTCTGGTCACCACCAACTCTAGGACCAATCAGCTGTCAAGGTAATAAGACTGTAGTCAACCATAGGGGGTTTCTTGGTGTTGCGGACACCAATGACGTAATACAAAAGATTGAAAAGACACTGAACAATACCCACACCACAACACAAAAGCTAACCAACAATAGTTTCCGCAACACCAAGAAACACCCCAACCATAGCGCATGAAAGAATATAGAAGGAGGGGAAGCGAAAGAGAAAAGGGGTCCTGTTAAACCTAGTGTGGCAGATAACGGGTCGAAAGTGAGAGAAATGGTGCAGTATATATTGCAAAAATCAAAGGCCTCGAAAATAGTTTGGCTTGAAAGTTGGGTTTGTTTTACACCAGACCAAAGAAATGATCAAACCATTACTGTAACACAGCGGCAGAATAAACAAAATCAACGGAAATCGCATTGTTTGACGAGCGTTATAAAAGTCCTTTCTGAACGAGATTTCAAATGAGCTGTTTTATTTAGAGGCTTAAAAATATTTTACAAATATGTTTCAGTTAAACATCTTACGATATACTTTTTCCTTTAGATATTAATGAGTGCACCCACCAAAATGGCGGTTGTAGCCACGAGTGTGTTAACGATGAACCTGGGTATCACTGCGCATGCCCAGACCCTTTGGTTCTCTCCGATGACCAACGCAACTGTAGAGGTTTGTGATACGTAACGAAGAACGTGAACATGGTTTTATTAACTTGACTTATAGTTAGACTTGAGGTTTAAAACCAAAAGAATGAACATTTCAGATCTGTATCTTGGCGCTAAAGGACCCCTAAGCATTTGTTTGTAGCCCTATTAAACTGTACCAGAAAAAATCGTGTTGAAGGAGCGAATTAAGGACCATCTATCTTCATAAGTCCTAGATGTGTTTCCTTTGTTGCCAAAAGGTGCCTAAAAACTAAGAGAGAAGTCAACAAGGGCAGATCCAAACAATGCATGAGGGGTGGCCGGGACACATGCCAGGTGTATAGACACTTTGTATTTTACTGAGAATTGTTTTAAGGGGGTAGGTCCCCGTGGCCCCACCCCTAAATGCACCGATGTTGAAGTATTTTTGAAAACATTCTCTTCACGCAGGGGAGAGAAAAGTGATTATTCATCGTAAATATAAATTAATTCCCAGCTGTCCATGTACAAATCCTAAGCAGCGTAGTGTAGGGCCCAATTTATTATCTGCACTTCGTAGTTATTAACAATACATCTGTTTTGTCATTCCTCAGCTGTTGGCCTGCTTCTAAACTGTAGCACCCACGCTATACAAGTTACTGTTCCCAAAACAGCTCTGCGCGACTTACAAGGCGATTTCCTTAGTCTACTAGACCCCACCTGTAACGTAGTAGAGACACCTACTCACTACATCTTTGACACTGCATTGGACAAATGCGGCACTAAACGCCGTAGCACGCCAAACTTTATCGCTTACAGTAACAGAATTGTGGAGAAGAGAGCTTCACCTGGTAGTATCATCACACGCGTGGGAAAGGACGAGTTTGATATACCGTTCTGTTGTTACTACTTGAACAACGGTATCACTTCCTCAGTTGGAATAAAACCGGAAGTAAAACAGCTGTACCTAAACGAGAAAGGGTAAGTGGCGCAGTATATATAACTGGGTCTTCCGTCTCTGTTGGAATAAAACCGGAAGTGAGCGAAATGTACCCAAACGAAAACGGACAATCTATTACCAGCAGTCTATGTTTTAGCTTTAAGGATTTTTCTTTCCCATCTCTTTTCTCCATGTTTAAGTGATGTATAATCATCGACGCACAAGTCTGAACGTAATTCAAGATCTCCTGTCGTTCATCACCTCTTTTAGCAACGAAGTAGATAGCTGACGCATTTCAGAAATCTTGAAAATCCTCAAAGTGTACAGTCATCCTTCTTTGAACAGAAGATATCTTGGGTAGAATTTTTTTAGTCAATTCGTTTCTATAGCAAAAAAGATACTTAGTAATACAAATTTGGAAGCGTCAAGGAATATTAAAAGGAAAGGGCCATACTTCTGGTTGACGTGTGCATGCGTCGCTCAAAAACGTTTTTGATGAAGCTCCCTAATGGCGTCTACCAGAAAAGCTTGAGTCTAGTACCCTTCATTATTAATAAAATTTTAACTCAATCAGAATCAATTTTATTTTTCGCAGTTACGGCCGTTTTTCAGTCCGTATGGATTTTTATCACGATCAGAACTACCAGAGTAAGTACTCGTGGGATGATTTCCCAGTTGAAGTGGCTTACCGTGAGAGGCTTTACTATGAAGTGTCAATTGCTACTTTGGATCAAAGTTTGCAAGTCATGGCGGCAAATTGCTGCTCCACACCTACCGCTGACCACGAGAAAGAACATAGGTTCAGGCATGAACTGATACACGAAGGGTGCGTAAAGCTTTTGTTTTTCATAAAATCCAAAACTACTCAACAAAAAAATAAGCAACAAGGGTCGCCTGGAGCCCATAACCCTGGGGTCGTGAAATTTGACAGACCAGTCAATTTATTTGGCTGCGACGTTTGTGGAAGAAAAGTGCTTTTAGAATACCTTTGTTGGATTGTCTTTTGAGAAACATGTCAAAGTATATAACGAGTATAATTTTGACGTCACATACGTAAGCATGCGCAGTAGCAACGTACCTTGATGACGTCAAGGCAGTTTACATCCTCTTAGAGTATAAAATGAAATCTTTGGAACATTTATTTATCCATTAAAAGTAATCAATTTTCCTTTACTCTTTTGGTTTTGATATCGTGTTTACCATACCGGTCCCAGAATTTAATTGCATCATAGTGCTGGGTATTTCTCGTCCTTGTCATAGGCGAATTCCAAGAAAATTCCCTTTCCGTTAAAGACACAAAGACATTTACTCTTGACGCTCGAAACAAATAGATTGAAAACCTTGACTTACACCTGACCTAGTCTGAAATATCCTACGCCTTTTCCCCCTACCCCCCACCCCACCCCCAACGGGCGTCTCTCTCGCCTTGCCGCCTGTTGGGGGGGGGGGGGGGGGGGGGGGGGTTTCTAATTACCCTCCCCTTTTCCCCCCCCCCCCCCCCCCCCCCCCCACGGGGCTCCCTCCCCCCTTGCCGCCTGTGGGGGGGGGGGGGGGGGGTTGGACGATTTCAGACTGACATTCTCTGACCATTTCACCAGGTGTCCCACAGATAGCACGGTCAGAATGGAAGCATCCTCGTCTCCGCAAACACAACGTTTCAGCGTAGAGGCCTTCAAATTCGTCGGAGATTTCCCGTTCGTGTATCTTCACTGCAGTGTGGTGGTGTGTCGAGTAAACGATACCAATTCCCGCTGTTCCAAGGGATGCATTCCGGGATTACACGTGAACCCGCCGTACAGCGTTATGGAGAAGCTAAAGGAACAGTCGCAGCACAGGTCAAAGCGCGAGGTGGGGGGTAACGACCCGAGCTATATGATCTCTAAAGGCCCCTTCTCGTTGAATGAGGACACCCTTTACGATGGGCCTGTTATTGAGCTGAAGGGACCTCAACAAGATCAGTCCAGGCTGGCGGAAAGTGGGGCGGAGAAAGAAAGAAAGGAAGAAGGTAAGATCTGCCGGCTGATTGGAACTCACCGAGTTGAAGAATGAAATGAAATGATTGAATGAATGGACAGACGGACGGACGGACGGACGGACGGATGGATGAACTCCTCCACATATTTGTCAAGTCGCATTCTTGCTCGCTAGACCGGCTGCAGTGAAAGATTTCATAATTGACAAGAACAAATTGTCGCGAAATGTTGTTTTAAAACCGGTTGTATATCCCAGAAGGGAGGGGATCAATTTTGTTACATGCGACTTGAAACAACGTTTAACTAGGATTACATCGGGAAAAACTTTAAACAAATTCATACAATTATCCTTTGAAGAGAAAGAAGTATTGTACCGCAACCTGACTCGCTTCGCTAGAAAGAATTATATGCTGTTTTAAAAGACAAGTTTTACCTCTTATCCCGCACTGACAATTACTATTTTTTATCTTCAGGGTGGAATCCACGCGTGACAAACGCTCTCATGGCGGTTGTTGCAGCGGCAAGCGTACTTGCTCTCGCGGGCGTGATACACATCACGCGTGTGGTGAAGCGTGGACGAGGATACAAGATGGTCAACCAGTGATAAACAACCAAATGGAACACTTAATCAATAACAATATTTTTTTCTGTAATACTCATGTTACCTTGACAGAAAGACAACTATGTGAACCTGACTTGTAATTTTGGTAATTGGTATGAGAAAAGTGAAACTACCCCGTTCTTTTTTCAGTGACAACCCACTGACACTGTACATCCTTCTTACTTTGCAATTTGTTTTTTGTTTTCTGTTGACTGATAATCCCTCTCCATTCAAACCATAAACCCTGTGTAGTTTAATGTTTCAATTTAATTTTTTTCTTTTTGCATTGGAACAAAAAAAAACATACGTAATGTGTAGAAGTCTTTTATTTTGGGACTTTTATGCGTAATAATTGTTTTTTGTTTCTGTTCCTATTTTGCGAGTAACAAGGCAAATTACTAGGTTGCCAACAAGAGAGGACGTCGTTTAATGACCCAATAAAGTCATTTTCATTATTTTCAGAAACATAAGGCCTGAATTGCATTTTGTCTTACTCAAATCAAGTGATTGAAAGTTCGTTTCACGCTCACTTGGTTTATGATTTAATTTAAAAGCGGTATCTTAAAAACATCAAAAAACAAGAACATGCACTTAGAATTACAACTCAGAAACTTTTAATGCCGGAATGATCACACCCCGATAGGTTTTGGCAGAGGCTTTACCAACATTACATAAAAAGATACCCAAGCTAATACGGACAAGATTGCATGAGCCCTGCCCGTTAAGCACTAGCTGGGAAGCAGATCCAGTGTTATATAACTTGGATGCAATCCGGACCCGTTGCATATTCGAGTTAAAAGATAGGCTGAAAACTGAAAGGCGTTGGTCACGGTTAAACAAAAGAAAGGCTGAACTCATGGTTATTTCAGAAAGATACCCAGCTAATACGAGGAAAGATTGTATGATCCCTGCTCGTTAGGCATTAGCCGGGAAGCGGATCCAACGTTATATAATTTGGATCTCATCCGGACCCGTTGCATACTCAAGTCGAGTTAAAGATAGGCTGCAAATCGAAAGGCGTTGGCCGCGGTTGAAAGAAAAGAAAGGCTGAACTCGTCGTTATTAAAAAAGATACCCAACTAATACAAGGAAACATTGCATGATCCCTGCCCGTTAGCCATTAGCCGGGAAGCGGATTCAACGCCAATCCAGACCAGTTGCATGCTTAAGTCGAGTTAAAGACAGGCTGAAAATTGAAAGGCGTTGGCCACGATTAAAGGAAAGGAAAGGCTGAAATCGTCATTAATACGAGGAAAGATTGCATTAATCCTCGTTCCCGGGGTTCTGTCCTACCCACCCAGAGAGAACCTAAGAGCGAGGTTGAGAATGCATGAGCCTTGTCCGTTGAGCTAAGGCGGGGAAGCAGATTCAACGTTTAATAAACCGGATCCATTATTATACAGGTCCCTTTGCATGTTTAAGTCGAGTTTTACTTAAATCCGGATTGAAAGTTGACATTTAAAACCCTGGGCCCTTGACAAATAATTACACAAGGGTAATCTTTATTTACCATTAACTTAAAGCCATCACTTAGTAGATTTTGCGGCAGCAATATTAAATACATACTTACATACATACCACAATATTCACTGAAAACGTTTCTTTGAACAATGCAGACGGCATTTAGACTGACGCATATTTCACATATCATATCATTTCTCTCAAATCATTTCCAACAATTTCCGAATAAGCGAAGAAGGGAAAAAAAGAGAACAAAAGAAAAAGCAGCAAGTGAACAGTAATTTCTTTCATACCTTCAAAGGAATTTTTATAGTGCCTTGTATTTTAATATGTTTACATAAGTTTGAGTTCTCTTTCAAAATTGTGTACTCAGTACAGAATTTTAAAGCCTTTGAAAACCTCCTCAATATTCCGGGGTTTTTGTGTATAATATCTGGGTCTAACGTGGGAGGTCATTGTTATGTTAATCTCGTTCGCAGTTTAATGATCTTTACCAAAATTCCTTTAAAGTCCCAAAGTTTGTTGACGTTAGTTTAGGTTTTGTTGGGTGGGAAAGAGTTTTTATCTTTCCCGGTCTCAAAACAAAAACATGTTTCGTTCAAGTCTTCTTCTACTCCTTTGCCTGTTGGGTCATTTAACTGCAACCCAACGTAAGTATACCCTTTAAGTTTTATGATTGATTCGAAATGGTGCTTTTTTGGGCTCGCAAACACGAATTTTGTGGAATGATTAAGGTGACCATTTTATCACGAATTCATGCATCTTGGCACCCTAATGTATATAACTCTTGAGTCTCAATTTATTCTTTAAATCAGGGAACGTTAAAATTAGTATCTGATGCGATCGGACTGATGCGAGACCAGGAGCTTATGACAGGGAAAAACTAAGAATAAAATAAATAGCAAGGCAGGAATGTTGATGGCATGTAATTGTCATTTTGCTGCAATTCTGCACCTTGCTTTTCTACAAAAGAGACTTTCAGTTCTACTAACGAGGATAGGATCACGAACGCCTTCAAAGCCGAAAATAATGAGTGAATTTCGATCACGGTTTTTTTTTAACGAAGACACATTTTCAGTTTAATACTCATTAAAAGTACCTATTAGAAATATTAATATTGAAGGAAAGAGGGCGTCGAGAAAATTTGCTTTTAGATACTTTTTGGCATGCTTCTCGCTAGTAAAAATATATATGGCTAGGAGCCGATACAATCGGCTCCTGATATGCCTTTTTTACTATTCTAATGATAAGTTATTCCGGTGCAGAGTTTACTTTTCGCTAAGTAACTCAGCTATGCCGAAAGATGTTTTTCTTTATTTTTTTATTGGGAAAAATGCATGCCATGATTTTCATTTCTGTTGTTTCCGAATTGATCTTTTGTCCCCAAGTTGGACATTGTAGTCTTTATTAAGAAACAAACCTGCTAGTTTTAAAGTCATGATGGAAATAATTCAGCGACATTAAACAATTCCATTAAAAGTGTCATTAGAAAAAAAGGAAAATAAATATTATACTTCTCAGTACTGACATGAACCATATCACTTCACTTCAAAAATTGTTCGTCACTGATCAAGGAATGTAGAAAAATGCAACGTTCTTGCTATCCAATGCTCTGAAATGCCGACAACTGAGGTTTTATTCAGATGCCAGGGGGGTTATTTACAACTTTTTCATAGGGGGCCCTGAGTCAGCATCTGTGAGATACAGGAGCAATGGTTTATTGGGAAGTTGTCCGGTGACCTTAATACACAGGGTGACCGCTTTATACAGGGCCTTTATATAAAAGTTTGACTATGCCATGTTCTCGGACTCGATGGGTGAGGGGTGGGGAGGAAAGCATCCGAGTCCCCCCCAAAACTGTCAACTTCAATAGGGCTTTGTCTAGAGCTTGTATACAAGCTTGATGCAGCTGAACATTTCACAGCCAGGATTACTTTACTAAGTCCTACTTCCCCAGGACTATTAGAGTTTGGAATAGTCTCATTCTGTTAAGCATGCTACTAGAGCTCAACAGTTAAAAAGTTTTCTACATGCTCACTATAAGGCCAGGCTGAGTTCGTATCGGTCGCCATAGTTACGCCTGTAGCACATTCTTATAGCGCACACCCTTTGTTTCGTTCGATTTTAGCATAATATTGTCTTATAGTTTTAGATATCGTGGGGGTTGAAATTCAATTGGGGGTCTTATAGTGTTTTCATCTCCTGTCAGCGTGCTGCTGTTTGTATGTAATCTCCCGGTTTTGTAATTTATTCAGATTTTTAAGACAGTGCACTTGAAAATGTTAAACTTCTAAACTAGGTATACAAAAGGGGTACCATTTGTCACTAGAAGGTATACAAGGGGGGTACCCTTTTCTGTCTGGGTTAGGGAACGGGACCTTGGGGCGGAGCCTTCCTATATAAACCCTTTTTTTAGTACTTCCCCACCCCCCGCGCAGGTTTGAAACACTCATGGCTTCTGCAAGGACTCATAACCCTGCTTCTGTAAAATGCTCTATTCTGTTTCTCTGTCAAGTTATTTAAATTATATTATCTTCAATTTTAACTCTGCAGACATAAATGAATGTGACATTAACAATGGCTTCTGTAGTCACATCTGTGAGAATACCGTGGGAAGTTACAAATGTAGATGCCCCAAACCGCTCTACTTGGATCCAACAGATCAGAGAACTTGTAGAGGTAAGTAATGAGGGAAATGACCCACATTTCGTATTACATCAAGAGCTTACGTCACCAGCATATTACTGTTTTAGGTCAATTCTTTGCTCAAGTCAGATGATCAGATCATTATACGTTTCTGGGAAACTGCCCACCTACCCCTCCCCTAAGCCAATATTAAAACTTACTTTTCACTTAGGGCAAAATGTTGGCTTAGGGGAGGGGCACCCACAAAATGGTCCTGGGGCCCGTTTCTCGAAAGTCCCGGCAACTTTTTGGCCCCAAAAGCAAATTTTAAAATCCAAACCTGTTGAATAGTAGTACAGTTCCTAGCCCACAAACTAGTCAATTTTGCTTCGTTAGCTTCCAGTTTTGTTGCATTTTTTTTTCAAAATTATTGACACTTTGATCTCGAATGTAAACACAACAAACACAAAACAGCTTTCCGGGCCCAAATTTCACCTGGGAACACTAACCATAATATATTTATTTGGTGATAGTTGCAGACAAAGCGTGAAATTTGACAAAGTTGGCCCGGGTTCTAGCAGAAAACAGGCTTTTACCGTTGCTTTTCGGGGGAGGGGTAGGGTGGGCGGAGTTGAGTACCTATTCTTCTTAGTCTCTAGCTTCATAATATAGAGCTTTCAGGGCAAAGCTCAGTTGCACTGAGCTCGTTAAATTTGGGTAAGAAAAATCGACAGGCCTGAATCTTTGCGAGTTTTTACAAAAGTGTTTTTTATATATCGAAAGCTCATGGTGTCCAGCTCACTTGCAATCCAAACCACATGGAAATTGTTCTTCCCAAAAACCTCATCCACAACCTTGGAGACGAGCATTTGAGTCTTCTGGACCCCACGTGCAGAGCTAATGGCAACGCCACCCACTACAGTCTGTCTACTAATGTGACAGGGTGTGGAACGCGGTCTCACGTGTACAAAAACTTCATCGTCTACACCAATAGGGTGCTGGAATCACCCAATGAGGATTCTGACGTCATCACCCACGTGGGAAAAAATGAGATCAAGGTACTTGAACATAGAAACCTGATAAATAGCAAACTAATTAAGAGTAACTGGGTGAACTCGTCATTTTCAAAAGTGGCGGAGGTGTTTAGCGAAGCTTCGGATAGTAAAAGGGCGAATGGTAGCAGCCCTCAAGGTACTGAGTCAAAAGGTCTTTAAAAGAATTATTTGTCATTTTACTAAACCTATGTGCTCTTCGCCACTTAGAGGAACCATGACTGATCACAATCTAGAATTGGCTCACACTACCCATCATATTTCGCATCACTTTTGACATGTTTAAAGTGGTAATGTTTGGTGTTATTTCTAAATCATAGTTGCATGAACTGTTATTCCTGAGGAGTCATTCACCCCCACCAAACTAAGGACTTCCACTACTTCTAAACAGCCTTTCAACCTTCCGAAGATTAGCGTCATCATCTTTCGTATTGAATACCCTTAACTTCGTGCGCGAAAAATTATGAAGAAAACTTTCGTTCATGGTCGTACCGAGTTGAAAATTACTTTTGCGTCCTTTTCTTTATCAAGGTACCCTTCAGCTGTTATTTCAATGACCTGGAAATCGTCAGCGCCGTTGGATTCAAGCCTGTGGCTCAAAAGATTCATGTCTACGTCAAGGGCCGTGGAAACTACGCGCTCAGTCTGGACATCTTCAAAGATAAGACTTATGGGGAGGGGGGCAGCAGAGCAGTCATATCAGGATCCCCCAAATACACGGAGGCAGACTTTCCGGTCAGCGTGCATCTGCGTGAGAGACTGTATGTGCAAGCGTCTCTGGACACGCGTGAGACGGACCTCAAGATATTCGCGTCTAATTGCTGTTCCACGCCTATGCAGGATCACGAGGCCACAATGAAATTCAGGCACACTTTGATCACGGAGGGGTAAGCAAAGAGAGTTACCAATATTACTTTTCCATTCATTCTAAGAGTGCCATAAACCTTCTCAAAATTTAAGAGGGAATTCACGGAACTCTATCACATTGCTTAATTAATTTTGGGTAAGAGACCATTGTTGGGAGGTTTCATACATGTTATGCCTTTTCTGTAATCACCAAACAAGCCTCTTGTTATGGCCGCAATAAATCTTGGGCGTTTGCCGCCATTATTGAAGCCAGAAATATGCGACGCTCATTGCTTCGCTGTGACTGGTTATTATTCGACGCGTGAAAAAAAAGGGCTTTTTTAAGTTTAGGTCGACTCGAAGGATTGGTATGAGAGATAAAGGTTCCTTTTGAGTGAAAGCATTACATTTTTCACACACGTTGGGGGGCTACTGGTCAAGTTGCAAAGCGTCAAGAATCTTCTTAGTTATCAGTAAATTCAGATGGGTTTACCTTACAATAAAGATCTTTAAGAAGTTATTTAGGGCGACAAGATGAGCCCGCAATCCTAATCTCCTGGTTGTTTTTACGCATGCGTCGCACGTATGTAGCCAGCATTCGTTTGGGCTTCCACTAAGAATGTATGGAATGTACAGAACGCACTTTGATCACGCGCGTTTGGACCTTCTACCACTCGTAATCTGATCACGCGTGTTTTGACCATCTGTCACGTGAAACTTACGCAAACCACAGCGCTGGAGCAAAAGCGTTTCGAACTTCGATCGTTGTCTCCCGCACTCTGTAACCTCTGGTTATCACTAGTAAGGTATAACCATAGGCTTTGCGCTTTTTTCTTTTCAGTTGCCCGGTGGATCCCAGTGTTCAGTTCCACAACTCTTCTGATCCAACCAAAATTCGATTCAGTTTCGAGGCATTCAAGTTCCTTGGTGACCATGACTATGTCTTTATACACTGTCGAGTTCACGTCTGTGACGTCAACGACCCCAACTCCCGCTGTGCAAAAGGATGCATGAAAGGTAACAACTCTGTGTCACAAGACCAAGGTAAGAAACCTGCGGTACAGTCAAATGGCAAACGCGTAGACAAGACAAAGGTCTCGGAGAAGCGCACAGGGCAACCATTAGCTGTACAAGAACAGAAAACAGATACAAAGCTTCACGTTGCTGCAAAGAGGACTATTAGTAAGCCTGTGGCTGAGTCAAAACCTAAGCGCGGGAAGGTACCGGTACAGAAGTCTTCGCCCAGTAAAATAAAGCTTCATACTGCTGCAAAGAAGACTATTGGTAAGCCTGTGGTGGAATCAAAACCTAAGCGCGGGAAGGCACCGTTACACAAGTCTTCGCCCAGTAAAATAAATCTCCATGACAACGCTGAGAAGAGCATTAAGTCAGCAACGCACCATATCATGAGACGATTCGCAGGCTTATCCCGAAAGAAAGGTGTGCTAGGGTCAGCGGATGTGAGTAAAGGACCGTTCATTTTCGAGGCTAAGCCAAGCAAACATCTCAAGCGAGGAAAAAAACCAGGAAATTCTCGAAAGGTGTTTGATGCTGGTAAAGGGAAGAGTATCCGCCAGGATGCTAAAAGAGGAAATCGTAAGTTTCACTTTGGGTTGGGGTTTGAAGAAGGAAATGTGATACTCAATATTCTTTGTTTTGGCCAAGTTCTCGCAACGATGCTGAACACTAGCGTGTAAATTACTTGTAAATGGTAAAACACAGATTCATAATAAACGCCTCCTTACTAGCTTACAGAGATCTAAACACATTTTGAAAGAAAATTTATCAAAAACGTCGGTCTCCGACCGATCACGAATAAAACCCCGAAGGCGAGGGAGAAACGACCCTTTGGAATGAATAAAGGGTACATTACGTCCAATGAAAGAAACCATAAGATACATGATGAATAGCCCACGTCCGATATATTAAAATTCTAACATGACTCCGAGGCTTTCTGTTCATTTTTCTAATTTGGTTTGGTTTTCTTTGTGCTCAAGTCTTTTTTGGGAATTGCGAGACAATGGAGTCTTGAAAAATTTGCAATTTTCACCCTAAAGCCTCGAAGTCATGTTAGAATTTTAATATATCGACCGTGGGCTATTTATTCAAGTTTTTAAATCACCTCAAGAAATTGATCCGGATTTCGGAATCTGGGAAAATCCGGAATATTGGGCTTTGGAATCTGGAATACAGCTCAAGAAATCGCACTAACGAGTCCAGGTTCCACTGACAAAAACTGGAATCCAGTACCTGGAATCCGGAATCCACTATGTAGAATCCAGAATTCCATTACATGGGACGATTTTAAAGGGAAGTGCGCAGAACTGGCCCAAACTAATCTGTATTTCAGATTGACAATTTTGTTTGTCTTTCTTTCAGGGTCAGAGGCAGCTCCAAGCGCAATCAATATTCTTCTTGTGGCAATGACCGTGGCCTCCATCATGGCGTTGATAGGGGTTGTGTATCTTGGTCGAAAGGCGATAAAAACCGTTCATAGTCCATACAATTATGACCCTGTACTAGTCAATTAAAAAAGTTCCTTCATTGTTAGCTTCACCTTTTCTTTGTCAGACAGGGATAAAAATTGGCCACTACCGAGTTTCCCTAAGCCTCTGTTTCAAAGCGAGGGTAGGTGTGAAGCCATTGATAGAGGGGAGGCAAGCTTAGTTTCGTGAAGCCGTGTTCGACCATTTTTGGTGTCTGTGAATCGTGATGTACTGAAGAACTGTTTTGTGAATCGTGTTTTAAATGCACTTCGTGAAACGTGGACTGCCAAAATCCTCTTTACTGAACACGTACTTCGAAGATAAATTGAAGAAATTTAATCAATAATTTAGCCACACGAGCATCTGGCGGCTTGATTTAATTTCACTTTTGAGTCTTTTGATGTAAATTCTCACTTCAGAGCGCTCAGACTCACCTACAGCTGGCTTCCCTAGGGAATTTATAACCACGCAGAGATCACCCAAACACTTGGCAGAGATCAAATACACTATTTGTTTAGTGACTCGAGAAACGCAAAATTGTTGTTAGTGAACCCGTGACGAGAACCCAACCCCCCCCCCCCCCCCCCCCCCCCCCTGTCCCCCCCTTGATCTGGGAAAGGGATTTTTTTTCCTTTGTAAATAAACTCTTTTTTTCACCAAAGAATTTTTTATTAACCCCTCTCTTTAATTTGGTGGTTTTTAGAACTAAGGAGGCACTTTCTTTGAAACAATGTTATATTAATATTGTAATTTTTTAAAAAACAATTTTGTTTTTGTCCCAAAAAAACGCAAAATTTTGTTTTGTCCCCCCCCGACCCACCCCCCCCCCCCCCCCCCCCCCCCCCGACCCCTCCCGTTGCTCCCCTCTTGATACGGAAATGAGTTTTTTGTCTCATGTAAATGAAACTCATTTTCACACGAACAGTTTTGAACTAAGCCTCGTTTTGAAAGTGAGAGTTATTGGAACTAGGAATGGCCTTTCTTCAAAGCAATTTCAACTTAAAATTGAACGTCTTCCATCAAGGTAGAGGTTAGCTTAAATTCGAGGTTTTTTGTAACTGTTTATAGAAAATGCTAAAGAGGTAATCTTCATTCAAGTATGTGTACCACTGAAGACAAATGGACTGTTTTAAGAGCAGTTTCTTGATGACTCTTCCTTAAATGTTAGTGGGCCGTCATTGAAGCTAAAAGTAATTCTTAGTTTGCTCGAGAAAAAAAAGTAGGTTTAACGTTAGTTTAGTGGAGTTTTGAAATATTGTGTACTTGGCGTTAGCTAGTTGCTATACTGCAAAGAGATCTTTTCAATCAGGTTGACTATGGCACACTAAAGTTACACTGGCCTATCACACTTGACAGGCAATTCAGTTGGTTCATTGCCAATTTCATTGCCAGAACCTGCAACATGTCCAGTCCGAGGGCGGGAAAATTCTGGCGCGCACGCCAGTTTGTTTACCGCTGATTAGTTAAGAGAGTGGGAGGAGATATTTCAGCCAATCACATAGTAGCGGACTGTCGAAAACCAAATTTACTGCAAATTTAAGTTAGATGCATACCTAAGAAAACCACTTTTTTGTGAGACTTTAGTTACAATGTTAATTTAGCCCCCCAAAATTGGCTGCTTTAAAGCATTAATACTATACATAGTATGACTCCTCCTCCTCCCTTTCAATAAGTACGACGAAAGTCGCCGAGACTCCGCTCTTTTGTACCACAGTAGCGATTAGGTTGTGTATTCAGGAAAGGGTTTTTTTGCCACCAAGCTTTTTGTGCATTCTCTTCGTGTTTTCTTTCTTCAAATAAACTGAACATTTATTGCTAGAACAGTTGTCATTTTTTGAAATGTACGTTTGTATCTAGAACTGAAAAGAGCGCCCTGCAAAGCATATGGGTGTAATACGATTTATTAAGGCTAGGTTTACACTAGAAGGTATTCTTCCAGATTCGTGACACACCCGGAACATACTGGTATGAGACTCATTTGGCCGTTTACACGCAGATGTAGGCTGGATGTCCTGAGACTTTGATTTAGCAATCTTTAAAAGTCAGTACTATGTATCCGAATGTAAGTTCTCGGATTATTTATGTGTGCACAGGCCTGCGATTCCAAATACCCTAAATAATTGTTCCGGAAAAATATCGTTTGGTGTAAACCTTGCCGGATGAAAGACGTAAACAGAACAGTTGTCACGAACATTCGTTTGGGGCATCTTCGCAACCAGGCAGAAAAATAAGGCGCAGAGAAAAAGGCTACGGATCTAGCTCCTTTCCAATCATTTCTCTGGGTAATCACTTGATCGCCGTTTACGAAAAGACAAACTCTCGTGTTCAACATTTACCATTCAAAGGAACAACAGCGTGTAAGGACGTATTAATTAGACTGGCGGACTCTTCTGCAGCAGGGAGTCGAGACGAGTATGTTAATTGTCATCATTTGTTCACTTTTACCTAAACTCTCCCCTCTCATCTTCTCGTAGCTGGTTTGGCACGCTCCATTTTCTAATTCCTCACAACCGTTAAGGGCATAGATCACAATACAGGATTTCTTTTTTGGTGGACTGGCGAGGAATTTAAGAAAAAAAGAAGAGCTTTGCAAGAAGTCTGTGTGACTTCTCGTGTTTTCTGTTACCAAAATTATATCATCTTCCTCTCTTAACTAACGACTTCATACCACCAAAACTTGTCAATCAAGTTTCATGGTAGGTAGGGACCGCCTCTTTTTCCCGTGTGCACGCGTTTTTCCATCAGCTCTTTTTTTCCTCTTCTCTGATAAAATAAGACGTTTTCTTGTCGGCTCCTACAAGAAAAGTCGTATGAATGTGCTCAGGGTGAAATTAAAAGCTGGTGGTGACTCATAGCACTCGAGAATTTTACCGTGGTTTTAAGGAGAGGGGAAACCCGGAAGAATCCGGAAAAAACTTCTTTGAGCAATGGAGGGAACCGGAAACAAACTCAGCCCACATATGGTGTCAGGTCGACATGAAACCGCACCACATTGGTGTGAGGCGAGTGTTCTCACCACTCGCCATCCTTTGCCCCCTCACAACATTCACAACCATAAAGACTATTCGCAGCGAATACAGTGCTACATGTATAGTGAGCCATTGCTTTGGGCAATCAAATGACTTGTAAAGACTTGCTACTGAGCGTCAGTATTCTTAAATGTAGAACGTAGAGTCACATATCAGTAAGGAGTATTTCGACACCAACCTCTTGGACCACTAATCAGTTTGCGGAGTTGGATGAGTGGGGGATGGAGGTGGGGGGGGGGGGGGGGGGAGGCGGGTTTTAAAACGCGAACACCCCCCCAAAAAAAAAAAGGCCCAAAAAAAAAAAGAAAAAGAGAGAAAAAGAGAAAAAGACACCCCGCCAACCCCCCACACACACACCTACCTAGTGCCGCCTTCT